CATACACAAACACACTCACATACATACACACGTACGCACAACAGCAGCAGACAGGAAATTTCACAGGAACAAGAATATCCTGCGCAACAGCAAAAAGAAGAGAAAAAAAAAACTGCAGCTAACAACACATTTGACAGGCAATAACAACAACAACAACAACAACCAGCCCAGTACAAAGGCAACAATGAGCTCTGAATGACGCTCTTATCGGCCATATTTATCGACAAACCAGCCCATTTCCTTCTTAAAAGTCTTACTTACTTGGCTCGAGAATCGCTTTTACCCTTGGCCACATTTCCTGTGTGACACGGTGAATTGAATAACAGTTAGTTAATATTTATGATTGTGATAAGTATCTGCTACAACACGAAATGGACACTGATACTGATAACAAACTAACGGCAATTTCCCCATTGAATTTAAATTTGTCGTAAATATGTTTTCTACAATTTATTTATTCCTCAACCCTTGGCTATAGTTTTCAGAATTTTATTCTGTTGATGTTCAGCTTATGTTTCTCCAATTTATTCATTTATGTGCATTTTATTGTATTGTTTTATAGTTTATTAAAGCTCAATTTCACTCAACTGCAACTTGAATAAATAAAGCATAAATTATAAAATAAAACTACAACTGTTTGCTAAATGTTTATTTGAGTAACTCAATATTTGTAAATAAGCCTTGGGATATTTTAAAATGTGCAGTCTTTCATTTATTATTTATATGTTTGTTTTCATTCAAATTCGATATTTATCGATTGTTGCCTATCATTTGTTTCGACTATTAACCGCTAAACAGTTCAATTACCATATCAGCAAAAATATACCCCAACTGATTTGTGTCTCTTTCGACTTTTTGGCATTGAGTACTATCAAAAAACTGCTGAGTGCCATATTTCATATTTGATATGCCATATGAGTATACTCATTTTATAGGCAGCCAATGGCGCTTTTGACGCTCAGTTGCCAAATGCCAGTTCGACGAGAAAGACGCGAAATTTACGAATCCGAATAGAGTCAAAAGATAAACGCGGACCGCGGACCGCGGACGGTTGACGGCAATATACAAGTGTAGTTAATCTGGAACCCACAATATGAAATTCAATATTGCAAATTCAATATTTGCTGGCCAACAAATTGTGTAGTGGAAATGCAAGTTCAAAGTGAAACCAGATTCGGTTTATAGGCTGAAGCAAAGTCAACGGCTATCATCATCATCATTATTATTATCATCATTATTATTATCATGACCAGCGGCGTTGGTTTGCCTAAAAAGAACCAATACGCTTGCCAGGAAATTGTATCGATTTTGTATTTTGAATATTGTTGCGCCATTATCATCACATTTATATAAGTGATAATTATATTAGGTGTTTATCTCGCTCCCTCGGTCGCTAGCTGGCTGGCTGCAGTGGCTGGCTGGCTTGATAAACACAAAACTCGCTTGCGTTCTTTGTTTATCTTTTGGATTACTCATCGCCCCAAAACGCCTATCCGGTGAAAACAAACGCAAACTACGACAACTGGTTTAGTGACGACAGTAATTATAATGCAAGTCTCAAAATTCGTCGAATTTAATTAAGTTATGAGAAGTGAAGTCGTGTTCCTTACACATCAAATGTGCTAATCATATTCTCGATTAATGGAAAAGAGAAACAAATTCAATTGATGTGCGGCTTGCGATATCGCTGCTTGGAGGATTAAAGTTAACAGGTGTGTAAATGATATATGTATTTCAAGTCAATTGGAATACGGCTGCAAATATATTGAAATACTCGTGAAAATACTCGCAGTTAGCACGCTCAATTAACTATGAATGGATTAAGATTTTATGGAGGTGTTAAGAGCACAGGCTTACAAACTAAAGCATAACACTCTTTGTTGTTTTTCTTATTTGCATCCATCGAGCCCTTATTAAGGCAGCAGCTGTCAACGTGCCTTAAAACCAGATGTGATCTGAATAAATTCAGCAAATTTTAAGTTTTTCATGCTGCCCGCAGCCAAAGCTTCTTAACATAACAAGCAAATGTCGCCAAAGGCGAAATGTAATGAAAAAAACAAGTCAATTTTTATTTGGAAAGTCGTTCATTTTAATATAACCTCAACGCATACGTTTGTTGTTTTAGGCAAAACTTTGCAGATATATACATATATATATATATATATATACATAGCCCAAGGTATATATTTGAAATGATGCAATCATCCATTAACTCTATCAACTCCAAATTTGAACACACTAATCAAGCCCCAATTGCTGTTTGCATTATACAACTTTGTTAGCCACATTGGCAACTGATAACTGATAACAACTATTTAATGTGCTCGACTGTGGTCAGGATAGGGATGGACGAATCGCTGGAACTGAGCAGGAAGTGCAGTCAACCAAAGTGATAGATACTAATACAGATGTAAATGAAATATGTACATTCATCTATGTGATTATGAAACTTGGTTGCGCCCACAAGCGTGCTATAGAATGGCCTAAAATAGACCACAGTCTGCTTATATATATATTTGTGTGTATTTTTATACGTGTCGCAGATAATATTTGGCAACAGTTGATGAGCTTGTTACCAGCTTTCCAACTGTACAGTTAATGGGCAAAAACCATATAAGAGCTCAACCGCAAAGGTGAGCAACTTTTGCTATGTTCATAAAAGTTGAACTCGATGCTCGTTAAAGTAAATTAGAAAACTAAAATGGACAGACAGGCAGACAGGCTTAATGCACAAACACAAAAGAGCGTATCAAATAAACAGTTATTTAAATGTGCACCAAATAAATGTTTATGTCCAGACATTAGGAGAGGACCTCAGGCAGAACGCATACAATTTGATAGGGCAGCGCATTGAGCAGTTGACAGTTTATTGAATTATACGCCAACGTATTCCAAATTTAATTTCGGGACTCTTCAAATACACATCTCCAAGAGACACTTACATATACATGTGTGCATATATATATACACATATATATATTTGTATAGCTCCGTGTCTCTTGGCTGCTGCGATTTATTTGAGTTCTCCTCCTCGAGGCCTACAATATTTCTGACAGCCGAAAAGTATGCTACGATTTATATACAGGGCGCATATGAATGAGCCGCTGACGTGAGCCTGTGTGTAATGTGTGTGTGTGCATGAGTGTGTGTGTGTGTGTGTGCAACCGTGTGTGTCTAAATGCTAATTTGAATAATGACAACGACATCAACGTGCCATTTTCTAGTTGTTGACTGTCATTCTCATAGTCGTTATTTTGCGTATCCGCTGCGCCATCGAGAATTTAAGCTGTATAAGCTGCTGCTGCTGCTGCTGTTGCTGCTGCAGCCGTTTGAAGTATGCGAGTAAAGATACTTAATGCAATGCAAGTATGGAACGTAGCCAGCTTATATGTCATGGGAAGTGCAGGCATCATGAAAACCAAATTATTTAAGGGCCTCTCCAATTTGTATGCGCCGGCAATGTTAAAGTTTCAATACTCTAACTGAGTGGAAATGGTACGACAAACTCGATTATCCCTTAATGCCTCTGTGGGTGTAATTCGATTGAAATCGCTTTAAATAAATAAAAATACATATCAAGCTTTACATTTTGTTTGTCAACGCGAATTTAAAGCGAAGCTTCAATTTACATATGAGTATTATATTAATGTAACTGGTTAAACTTTAAATGACATTTCAATGTATTGTTGAGCACAAGCTTTATCTTTTAAACATTTAAGCACTCATATTAAATATCCATTTGTCCTTTATGACACTTTAAAGCCCATTTTCATAGTTGAGACGAGCTCAAGCCCAAACAAAAGCTGATTCAGTGAAAGCTACAACTAGATACAAATATTAATCATTTCGCATGGCTCTGTTGTGGACATATTGTATTCAGCCTTCAGCTGGCACATACGTTCTGGTTTAGAATACCCACATCCTCAGACCGCCTCATCCCGGAGGGCTGACAAATTTGGCAAATGGCTTCACGCCTCGACGAAAATGTCGACGCTTAGAAACCATTTACATTTTGTGTGCCTGGATCAAAAAGTTTTGATTGTGAGTTGCAGCAGCATCAGTTTGGGGAATAGGCAAATGTTTGTATTCATTAGAAGGCCTAGCGATGCGACAGACGTTGGGCTCCAGTAATCATGTTTGCAGACAGTCAAAGACACATCCAAACACACACACACAACATACACACATGGTCACAAATAGAATTACAGCGTTGACAACTTCAAAGCGCTTATTGACAGTTAAAGCCCGAGTTGTCAAGCATTGCATATTAACATTGATGATTATGTCCACCTAACCACGCCCACTTGCTTATCAGCAGCAGTAGCTTAATATACTCTTCTATTGTCTACATCGAACAGAACCAACGCCGACGAGGAGGAGGAGGAGGAGGAACAGGAGCGCAATATGGATGACGATGATGACAAGTTGGTCTCGGCCGAAGTGCATCTTCGCCAATTCAGCTCGACGCCATCCTCGGCGCTGCAGCAGCGTCGCCAATGCAACAGTGTAACCCATTCCGCACCGCCCGACCTCCAAGCACAGGCTGTAGCAGAGCCCAAAACGGAGTCGAAGAAGAAGGAGGTGCAGATGGTGGGGGAGGAGGAGGTGGAGCAGGGCGTGGTGCTGCGACGCGCTGTTGACAAGGGTGCCATTACCTTGGCTCAAATTGACGATCTAAAACTAGAGAGCGACGATGAAGATGAGCACGATGATGACGACGACAACGAGGATGATGATGATGTTGGCTGTGGCCCCGGTCTGAGCAATCCCGCAGCGCAGACCACAAATGATGAGGAGATTAAAGCCACAACAAAGCCAACGACAACAACAACAACCCCAACAGCAACTGCAATATCAGCAACAACAACAACAACAGGGACTACTTTCGAGGTAAGTTGAACTGTTCCGCAGCACTTAGGGCTAATTAAAAGCTAAGCTAAAACACACAAAAAAAGCAGCAGGAAGCAATATCAAAAGCGACAACAACAACGATGACGACGACGACGACGACGCCAACGCTGGCCCTCCAAACCAAACCGGATATGTCTAAAATACCACGACTGCCCGGCGACGGCGCCCAAATGGATGACAGCGGTGATCTGCCCCACTCTCTGCGTGCCTCCGCCGCATCAATTCTCTCCAATTTGCGCAAGAAACAGCAGGCAATGCTTGGCGTCGGTGTTGGCATCGCTGTGGACCGACCCGAGGGCAATGGCGGTGTCGGCGGTGTTGCTGTCGTTGCTGGTGCTGCCCGACCTGCCGGTGGATTGGCCAAGCAAACGCCGAGACGCGTGCAATCCGTGCGCATCGTGGAGGCCAAATCCGGCTATGGACCTAAACGGCGCACGGAAAGCTGCAGCATATTTGCCAACAGCAATTTTGGTAAGACGAAATCAAAGAACAAAAACCAAAAAAAAAACATTTACTTGAAATGCTTACTTTTAGTACTTTAATAGAAAACGACTTGAAAAAGTATTTTAATTCAGGTTGTCAAATCGAAACCGGAATTGGCATCAACAGCGCATGTTTGCCGATTGAAATTCAAAATCGAAATCGTAATCTAAACCCAAATACCTAAGCTGATATATATTTATATAATGGCATTATAGTCGATCCTTTCAATTAGTTGTATGTGTTACAGACAAGCTCTTATAAACGAAGTTCTTTACCCAATTTAAAGTATTTTTTATTGTCTCTGAGAACCGTTTGCTCAAGCAGACGGAGAGGCAGACTGACCATTTTCAAACATTTTTAATCTGTTCAGGTTTAAAGATAAGATCCTCTTGGAGTCTTCAGTGCACCTGCTGACACCCCAATTACTTTATAAATATTTAAATGCCGACCGAGCTATAATTGTCCGATGTTGGCTCCGAAGGCTCCTTGACATCTGTATCAGAATATTTTGTAGTCAGTTCTTGCATCCTTATCGGAATTTCAGAAGTGGACCCTTAACTCGTTTCGTAGTCTTGATTGGCAGCATTAGTCGAGTCGATGTCGTCTCTCTATTTGTATAGAAACTAGTCACTCAGTCTCAACGAAACTTGGAAACTTCCTTCAAATATATTCAATATATTAATAATAACACAAATGATGCATAGAAAGTATTCCAAATTGCTGCACCTACTGCTAATTTGGCACTTGGCACTCAGCGACGAACTTGCCACCGATGGGAAGCGCACTAAGCGACTGGCCACGCCCAGTTATAGTCTGCACGTGACGCAAACGATGGCCAAGTATGTGGTGTCCATAAGATCTCGTACGCCCCGAAAGTACTTTGGCGACAATCATTTCTGTGGTGGATCCATCATTTCGCCCCAATATGTGCTGACAGCCGCGGCCTGTGTAATGGAGTAGGATACATCAACAAATATATATATAAATATATATATATATTGATATATATTTATATATCGATCGATTAATCAGTGATTTTTTAAAAGCCATCGCAAGATTATCTATCGAAGTCGTGTCCTTTTGGTCGTCGCTGGCACCCCAAATCGTCTGAAGGTTGTTGAGGGCCAGACCATAAATATGCCAGTTGAAAGGATTTATGTGCCAGCCAACTACACCATTCACAATACCAACAATATTGCAATCCTAAGGTTGCACTTTGAGCTGCCAACGGATAAGCCGCACATTGGGATTATCAATCTGCCGAAGGGGCCACCCACAGTTGGCTTAATGTATATGGTCTTGGGCTGGGGGCGTGTCTATCTGGTTAAGTGTTACTCGATCGAATTGGTGTTGCCTTTAATAATATGATTTGCTCAGGGCGGTGCTCTTGCTTCTTTAATTCTATACATCGAGATTAAGTTGCAGGATCGTGAACTGTGCCACGCAATGATTGAGACCTTTCTGCCCGAAATGTTGTGTGCCGGCAATATGAACACCAGCCTCGATGAAAATCCTTGCTCTGGTGACACCGGCGATCCTATGCTGAGAAACTTGACCATTTATGGCGTCGTCTCATATCGACTTGGATGTGGCAATACCTATATGCCGTCAGTCTATACAGATGTCTGGTATCACATTGATTGGATCAAAGACGTCATAAATGGCAGTCAGCAATTATATTTGTTTGTGCCCCACTTAATTGGCTTATTGCTCAATATGTTTATAGTCCAACTTGAACGAGTCTAATCAGTCTCTATAAGCATTTGACTCTCAAGTTTCCTTGTAAAATATTGTTGCTTTACAAATTGTAATTATAAATGAAAACTTGGGTTGGGCCAACGTTTATTTTGTGTTCTGATTGTACATAAATAAATATATGTTTGTATATATAAATATATGAGTAATAAATTGAATATGAATTATATACAGATTACGAACTGGAGTCGGGCCAATCGATAGCGAGCATTGCTGGACCCCAAAGACCGTTAACAAATGAAACATATTCGGCTTTTAAGAGCGGCAATGTGGTCAAGGGCATACTCTGTCCCTCTCTAACGAACTCCTTCAAGCAGAGCTCACTGGAAAGAAGTTATCTCACCTATACACACAGGCAACGCCAGAAATCGCTAATTATTGTCAATGTCGTCGATTTTGTACTGAAGATTGTGATGGCCATAATATGGATGTTGCAGCCCAAGGAACAATTATTGACGGTAACTTAAACTAACTCCATCTTCAGCTCTCTCTGTCTCTCTCTATCTCTCTCTATCTCTCTCTCTCTCTCTCTCTGTCTTTGTACTAAATTCAAACTTGATTTGATTCGTTTAGGACTCGAATATGGCGAGCACAGCAACAGCGATTACTTGGTCCGTTTGCTGTGGCATTGCCAATTTGGCCATTTGCTTTTTGGGCTATTGGCGTTGCTTTGCCAACAATTACTTGCACTGGGCATCTGTCTGCACATGGGTGCTCTTCAATATACAAGGTGGGTGTGTGTTTGTTTTTTTTTTTGGCTTATAAGCCAGGCTGGTTGCATAAATCATGCGACATGCGACACATGCGCTGGCCATTAAATTTGCTAATCCTTTTGGCCGTCATAAATGTTTTTATTGCGACGACGACAGGATTCATCAGCGAAGGCGTCGGTTTCGAGAATCGTGAGTACCTGGTCTGGTACATATTGTTTGTCATATTTGTGCCGTATGCCATGCTGCCACTCCCACTCAAATGGTGCGTGGTGGGCGGCACAGTCACGGCCAGCTGCCACCTGGCCGTAATTACCATCAACAAATTGCAAAGCAAGGAGGTAGGCACAAAAACTCGTAATGTTCTAATATATATATATATATATATAATATTTATGTATTATTTTGTTGGTTCTTGTAGACGACATTTGATTTCAACTGCGTGCTGTTCCAAATCATTGCCAATTTCATACTGTACTCGGCCATCAATGTGGCCGGCATGTATACAAAATATTTGACAGATCGGGGACAGCGTTTGGCCTTCATCGAGACGCACAAGGCCATGGAGCACAAGAAGGAGTCCGAAAAGGAGCTGCAGCGCACACAGAAGCTACTAGATTCAAGTGAGATACATTTTTTGTTCCTTATTACTTGGAGATATTTTTCAATTTAATTTCAAGCATTTCCGTGCCTTAAAAGAATAGAGAAAATCAAAAGACATTTGTACATAAAGCGAAAAATGCTTTGAAACCAAGGCAAGGAAATGCTACAAATTCCAGAGAACTCGCTTGCCGACGGCAGGTAGAATCTAAAATGAGGCAGGAGCAGGTAATCATAGTTCGGAATCGTGGTGGCATTTTGTGTTTGTGTGGCTGAAGGACAGCAGGCGCAGTCCGGACAAAAGGAATATAAATTATACAAGCATATATCAATTGCATTTAGCTGGATTTAATGTGCCTTCTGTTGCATTCTAATTGCAGTTTTGCCCAACATTGTGAATAATCAAATACGCAGTGAAATGTACAAGGGCACGGATCCCACGGTGGAAACGCAGTTCAACAAATTGTACGTGTATCCCATGGATAATGTGAGCATCCTATTCGCCGACATCAAGGTAAGCTAATTAATGCGAAATTATTCATGATATTTTCAAACTGATTGAAATTCACGGCTGCAGGGATTTACGGAACTGGCCAGCAAAACTTCGGCCCAACAATTAGTGAAAATTTTAAACGACCTTTTCGCACGTTTCGATCGCATTGCAGAGGTAAGTGCATACATGCGTAGTATGTGTGGCAAGTGCTGCGTTGTTTTTACAAAATCCTGCATCGTTCTCTCTGCCTTACAGGACAATCATTGCCTGCGTGTGAAGCTGCTCGGCGATTGCTACTACTGTGTGTCGCAGTTCGAAAGCGACAACTGGAAGACGCGGCCGGACCATGCTGTGTGCAGCGTCGAAACTGGACTGCACATGATAAAGGCCATCAAGGATGTGCGCCTGCATACGCATGTAAGCTTAAAGAAAACACACAATCGATTTAAGCAGCGGCTGCTTACATTTCCTTTGTTATTTGCACATCGATTTATTGAGCCTCTGCGATTAATGGCTGCTTTAAGTTAATGCCCATTTCCGGCTCAGTGAAAAGTAATTTTTGTTGCATACTTTTGTGCGCCGCTTAAAATGTAACCGCTGACAACTAACAGACGACTGTTAGCAAATAACAGTCAACTGTTCAAATGGCAAGCATCATTATTTTTTCAAATTTAATGCCACAAATTTTCCAATGGTCAGCTGTTTTGCATTTTTGTTTTTTTTTTTTGGAGAAGGGAGAAAAACGAGCCGCTTTATTTTTACGAACATTGGACAATGTTGGTGTCGTGTGCTGGACGTGTTGACAATTCATTTGTATGCAAATCTCAGCAGAGCAAAACGCAGCGACGACAAACGTCAGCAGCAAAAAATATGTGTTACACTTTGCATGACCCCCCACCCCCCTTCCCCCAAGGAACAAGTGCAAAAAAAACAAAAGATTTAATTGATTTTCTTTTTTTTTGGCTGCTTGTGGCGCAATGCGGGGGGCAACTTATCCTCTTGCCGCAATTCCTTTGACCTCTAAGCGCATTTAATGAATGTGAAAGTTTTGCCGCTGGCTACGAGCTTTTGTGCGTCACAGAATCCAACCGAGCGACTAACAATGTCACTGACACTCTAACAACTACAGTGAGCCCCAATTGCCATTGCCGTTGTAGTTGCAGTGTACATAATTTGCATATTTGCTGTGAGAATTTTGCGTTTTGTTAATTTTTGCAGGTTGACCTCAATATGCGCATTGGCATCCACAGCGGGTCGGTGATGTGCGGCGTTCTGGGCAACAAGAAATGGCATTTTGATGTCTGGTCAAATGATGTTATAATTGCAAATCACATGGAATCCGGCGGCATACCCGGGTAAGTTGCACTAACCTTTTGCTCCCTGTCTCTCTCTCTCTCTCTCTCTCTGTGAGTGTTGAGCTTTGATTTGATCCTTTGAATTTTATGCGTAAAACATTGAAGGGAATCGAAGCGAAACAAGTTAACTAATTGTACAAAAGAAGCAATTGAATTTAATTGTTATTGTCGATTTAAAATTTCAACGGCATTTCTCGAATTCACAGAAAGTAGTCGAATTTATGTTGCATACTTTTAGGGATAATAAATTATAAATGTTGCCTAGCTAGAAACGTCTAAAATAGGCATAATCAAGATAATCTATAATAAATTGCTGACAAGTTATTGTTCGAAATATATATCTGAGGTGCAAATAATGGAACAAAGCCGGAACAAATGAAGTTGACCAGTTTAGCTTGACTGCATTTAACCAACTGAAAAGCCGCCTTTGTCCAGCTGCGAATTTCTCAATAGCTACAAATTAAGGAAACCACAGCAATTTTTTGGTTAACAAGCAGCTCAAATTTATTGGCAACAATTCGAAAATACAAAAGTCGCTGGCAACAGCAACCCGAAACGTGTTGCCAAATAAATGTTGGCTTTAAATCTGAGTCAGCCACATTTTTTAATTGGCCAATTAGAGCATGTCCTGGCTCTGACTCTGCTTAGTAATTTTTGCAAGCCTGGCATGTTTAGACACAAGAAACCAAAAACAAGAAATACAAAGAGAGAGAGCGGAAAATAGCAAAGCAATAATAAAAGCTGGACAGGAACAACAAATCAACGACGACCACAAACCGAACAAGAGGCAAAGTTAAAGGTTTCCATTTTAATGCAAAATGCTTTGATGTAATTGTGGCCTAGAAGAGCAGGCGAAACAGCAGGAACATAAAACGTCAGCAAGTAGGACTAGAAACCAAATCGTAGACAGCGAACCCAATTATGAAAGGCACACACACACACACAGACTCAGAGAGAGAGTGGTTTTGTTAGGGTGGCAAACTTTACGCACAATCGCAGAAAACGTGGGCAAATATTTGAATTTAATTTTCGGCAACTACCATTTGTTGTTAACCCCCACTTACCACTGCCCCTCTGCACACACCACTCACTTTTGCAGTCGCGTTCACATCTCGGAAGCGACGTTGAACTGCTTAAATGACGCCTACGAAGTGGAGCCGGGCAACGGCGGCAGTCGAGATAATCATCTCAATAAGCTGAACGTGACCACGTATCTCATCAAGCGCACAGAGCCGTTGCGGTAAGATTCTTCACTAATCCCGGTAATAACAATAAACTAAATTAACACGTTGCAGACCCAAGCGACGCTTTGGCACCCGCAGCAGTAGCGCTGCTCCTGCTGCCAATCGGGACAGTGCAGCATTGCCCAAATCAATCTCGGCCAGCGGCAGCAGCATTGGCAGCAATACGGCGACGGTGCAGGGCACTATCGATGGCACTGGCAGCATCGATGGACGCAGCAGTCTGGAGTGTGCAGTGGCCATGGCCGTGCAGCAGCCATCCCAGCTGCTGCAGCAGCAACAGAAGAAGAACATCTCCCTCAACTCGCTGCCGAATGTGGTCGAGGGGGTCGCCTTGGACAATCGCCGTTTGCGCAACGGTGTGGCAATCAATGCGAATGCAGTTGCTGGTGGCGTTGGTGGAGCACCGGCAGCTGGACTCTCGACGGTATCGTCGCCAACGGCAATGATGTCCGCACCACTGGAACAGCCGCGCAATGGCGACAGCGTTCAGAATCTGGCGGAGGCAATCAGTGCCAAGGGGCTGATCATTGAGGATGAGAGCACCACAGAGTGGATACCAGAGATACCCTTCAGAAATGTGAGCAAGAGTTGGCCTACAAACATATGTAGACTCATCAAAAATATCTATATTTATGCTTAATACTGCTTTGAATCGTTTGATTAATCCACAAATAGTTTACATTTAAAAAGAAACCAAACAATAGATGGCGCTATTTCATCTATTGAAACTGTTAACTTAACATTTGTATGCATTTTTAGCTTAACAGTCCCGAGGAGGCTTTAAATCGTGTGGATTCCATTCTGGTCGATCCCAAACAAGATCATCGCGTTTCAGTAACCGTGCTGGATAAAGAGGTAAATAAACTAAACAAGTAAAATAAACTATTCTCAATCATATTGATTATTTATTTGGTTTGCCGGCAGATTGACGACTTCATCGAACAGAATATCCAAATCAATTCGAATAAGGAAATCCGGCGAGAGTATTTAAATGCCTGGACATTGAAATTCATCGACAAGAGCCAGGAGCAGAAATTCTGCCAGCTGCGCGAGGACATGTTTCGGTGCGTATTAGATTAAAATGCTAATGGAATTAAAGCCTAAACAGCAATTAATGAATTAATTAATGAACTGTTTGCTAATTGGTTTATGCTGTTTTGTAATCATTTGCAGCTCGAACATGCTGTGTGTTTTTGTCATTTGGATATTTATGGTTTTGTGCCAGGTCATAATTATTCCGCGCTGCACATCAGTCATCATTTGCCTGGCTGCCGGCACTGTGGTGCTCACCTTTTGCTGTGTCCTCGTCATGGCCGAGGAGTTTCCAGGTGAACAGCCTATTCTCATTCTCTATCAGTGCTCAGCTTTAACTTCTTTTTTTTTGGCAGGCCTGCCAAATTGTTTAAAAACCAACTCGGCCAAGTTGGTGCATCAGCGGCGACGTCGCACATTCTTCATTTGCGGCGTCATCATTTCCATGTGCATGCTCAGCGCAATTGGTTTGGTGCTGTGCCCCTCGTCCAGCTACAATGGCACCAATGACCTGAAATTTACACGCAGCTCGCAGCTGAGCAACGTTACCGTCGATTTAGCTGCAAATGTTTCCATCTTGCAAACGTTCCAGCATAATCTAACCATACGCACACCAGCCAGTGGCGGCGCCTCCGCCATTTCTCTGGTTGACTTGGTTAACGAGAGCTTCATCAATGCATCCGATGAATTGGTGCGCAATACGATTGCCAATGCTTTGACTTTTAAAAATCTGACCAACACTCCACTGGAGTCCTTTGAACAGTCGCATCGACCATTTGCCCTAACCCGAAACGATCGGAGCACATATGTCATATCCATTGATGACAGCTCGGGGTGTGTGCATCGAGAGTATATCGTGTTCACCTGGGTGCTGTGCCTCGTCTCGCTGGCCACGGCCCTGAAGCTCTACTACTTGATTAAGGCAACTATGGCGGTGGGAATGGTTGCATTCTACACAACGCTCATCTTCATCCGATTCAGCACCAACGAAAGTTTCAGTCTGAACAATCTGAGGGATAATGGAATGCCGCTCGGCGTACAGATGCTCATACTGCTAATCACGTTCCTAATCATGGTCTGCTATCATGCCAGACTGGTCGAGGTATGCTATAATAAAGTACTTGAATAACTCAGTTATAATCAAGTTATATTTCAGAATATCTTAGAAATAATTTCTAAATATAAGAAAATATTTTTATCAAAATTAGCATTGCTTAAGCTAAATCGACAATTCCAAAAATATTATATTTCTTAGACATATTTTCTATTATTAAGAAATGCATTTCTAAAAAGTAGCAATGTAAACAATATCAATTTTTTGATCAGTTTTAATCTAAACTACTCTTTGCGGATATAAAATATACATATATATAGTGACCCCCTGCAACCCCTGCCACAACCCCTGCTCCACATAATAGTTTGCCTTCATTAACTATTTATTTCATATTCTTTATCATAAATGTGTTTTTATCCTGTACAGGTTACCTCCCGCCTGGACTTTATTTGGAAGGAGCAAGCGGAACGCGAACTGACCAACATGAAATCGAATCGTGCGCTTAATGACACATTAATTAAGGTAATACCACTAATACGCCCCTCTCCCTTCCACCCCCCACGCACGAATAATGTCTCATTAATTAAATGTTTGATTTGGGAATGGCATGCAGAACATCCTGCCGGACCATGTGGCCGCCTATTACCTGTCCGATGAGCACACGGATGAGCTTTATTCGAAGAATCACAATCTGTGCGGCGTTATGTTTGCCTCCATACCCAATTTCCAGGACTTTTATTCCGAGGACATTGACAAAGGCAAAGCGTGTATACGCATCCTAAATGAGATTATCTGTGAGTTGATTGATTACGGAATTATTGCCCACAGTGGCTAATGGTGCCTTTTCGGCCATTCGCACAGGCGACTTTGATGAATTGCTGGAGGAGCCACGCTTTGCATCCGTGGAGAAAATAAAAACCGTGGGTGCTACTTATATGGCTGCTGCCGGCCTCAATCACGAGCATCTGCGTGTGCGGGGCGAGACATCGGAGGACAGCGTCTGTGATCTGGTCGAGTTCGCCTTTGCCATGAAGAAAAAGCTGGAGGAGATCAATGGCGATGCCTTCAACAATTTCCAGCTTCGCGTCGGTATCTGCAGTGGACCATTGGTTAGCGGCGTTATCGGTGCCCGGAAGCCTGTCTACGACATCTGGGGCAATACGGTGAATGTGGCCTCGCGCATGGACTCCACGGGTGAGAACTGGCGCGTCCAAGTGCCGGACAATACGGCGGAGTTGCTCTGCTCACGCGGCTACACCTGTGTGGTAAGTGAGACTTGTGTGAATTGAGTTTGAGTCGAGTTTCAGTCGAGTTGTGCTCCTGCAGAAACGTGGCGAAGTCAATGTGAAGGGCAAGGGCATGATGACCACATTTTATGTGCATCCCAGGGGCGTTTCGGATAGCCAGCTGATCTCACCAGTGCGCCTGCCCGCCGGCATTCCCATGGCCCAGACGCCCAATCTGCAGCGACAGACATCGCATCATGGCTCCTTCAGCGCTGTCGTCTTCGGCATGATGCAGGCCACCAAACGGAGCACAGCCATACCAGGCACACGTGAGTAGCTGGCATGCCCCCAATCCCTAAAATATATCCTCAATCTTTGCATCTCTTGCTTTAGCCACCGGCACGCCTTCACCGCAAATTCGACGTGGTCATCGGGGCAGCACATTCAGCTCGGTGCGTCTCTCCCAGAAGTCGACGACGGTGAATCCCGTGCGACGGAACACGACACGAGTGCGTGTTCGCTCCTATCGACAGAAGAAGGTAACTTTATCGAATTTGAAGATTCGCTCATCCATGCTCCAATCTCACCAATAAAGATCTCTCTATCCCTGCAGAGCTCCTCGAACAATTCGATTGTCACGCAGGCCAGCTCCAATTATTTGCCCTCGTTTCGGCGCATCGATCAGATTGAGACGACCATATCCAAGAGCCACAACGATGCTTTATAGCCAACAACGCGCATCAATTGGGTTTAAGCTAGTTTCTATTACCAAATCGATTAGTGTTTTAATGGGCTCTTGAATTTTTGGATAGTTCTCTGAGAGCTGTCCGTCAGACGTCAGTCAGTTTTGCCAAAAATTATTAAAATTATGTAGAATTTATTTTTGGAACGATTTTATGCAAGGACTTAAATCTAGCTATAAGTAGTGGCGTCCTACGTATATATATATATATCTTTATTATCGTATCTGTTAGCAGTAGAAATTGGCACTAATTAGACAGTTGTTTGCCAAAAAACATATATTTTAGTGTGTAGCTATTAATATGTATCTTGTATTTTATCATCTCAGCACATTTCTAGTCGGTTTATATATGTAAATATTTAAGTATCTTATTCTCCAATGATCTATGCGTAAATCCACGATCAAATTACAAATTTTTGTGAAGTTGTCTTGCCACATTTCTAGAAGGTTTGCCAACAATTGATGCTTTTTAAGTTAGTCTCTAATAGAGTTAAGCATAATTTGTAGCATTATTAGATAATTTATTATAATAATAATATGAGTTAATGAATGAATAAATGTTTTAAATTGCTGTACAAATATCTTCACAGGTTTTCAATAGCCAATAGCCAATAGGCATGTAAATATCAAAAAAGCAACCCACATTTTCAACATTTCTTTATGAATTTATCTGTAAAACGCCAATAAATTTGTAGATAAGCGATGCTAAACCCACGATACAACCAATATTTATGTATGCACCATCTTTTAATTAAATAAAAGTTAAACTAGTGAGAGTGTTGCAGGGTCGGGCAGAACCGACTGTGCAACACTCTGTTACCGCTGTAATATCAGTTGATAGCAAGTGGCAAGAATCTTACTTTGTTAGGGGGGTAATGGATGAAAGATCTAATTATGCACCTTTCAAATTTGGAAGATTAATGCTACATCAAAATTGGAAACTTGATTTTAGTTCGAAATTCATGCTAAAATTTAAATGACCCTGGAATATAAGTACAAAATCTAGCCTGAAAATCGGCATATGGGCATAGATCGAAACTTCCCAAAGCTATAACTTTTCATAGTTTGATCAATCGTACATTTAAAGTTGAAAACGTGATTCCAGCTCGAAGTCCACGTGAAATAACATACCCAAAAAGTGCTTTAGAAGTTGGTCAAAACTTTCCAGAGACAAATGTTTGAAAATGGTTTGAAATCGAAATCCATATTAATATTATATACCCAAAAAGTACTTTGGAAGATGGTCAGTAAATTTAACAATTCAATGCCGGGAAATGGAATGCATAACAAAATAACGGAAGCCAACCGAAATGATCAAAACACAGAAAACGCATAAATTGACTAAAAGAGACGAAGAAAGAAAAAAAACGACCAGACCCGAAAATGATGCCAACACTCATCTAAATAAATGCGGCTACTATAACAAAAACAACAACAACAACACAAAACGCTATTTATATCGCCGATGCAGACGAATGCACCTTGGACAAGGGCAAAGAGTAATGTGGAAGGGGGGAGGAAGGCAAAGGCAAGTGGACAGCTGGAGCCAAAGCACTTGACGAAACAGACGGTCGAACTTCCCACGTTGGTTACGTTTCGTTGAGCGAAATGATGAAAATGCAAATGACATTCGGACTCACGCACACAAACAGCCAGACTAAAGCAACGACTTTGAAATACCCTTTCTGAGCTCTGTGCAAGTCTCTGCTCGAGTTGCTCATAATGAATATTATTCAAGCTATACTTTGCAGGCTTCAAGTCTTTAAATAATACTTTATTATTATTAAACAGCAACCGTTACGTTATAGGTATTTACATAGGTAATAAATATGTATATATTTACTGTAGTCATCGAATACGTCGTTCACTGCATATGAGTTAAGATATACAAGCGCACACACACACACAGTGACACATAAAATGAGAAAGAAAAGCAACAAAAAGGGCGACAGCAAATGTCGACCACTTGTGCACTTCCACTTATAGGCGGCGTCGGCGTTAGCGTAGACGTCGGCATCGCCTAATGAATGTATAACAGTTGCTGATAAGACGCATCGCTGTAAATTTGTTGTTGTTGTTATGCGTGTGTGGTTTGCAGAGCAGAAGCGAACAAACAATGAATGAATGCGTGTAAATTTAACATTTCAATGCGTTGTTTCTTTTTAATGTAGTTTGCCGGTTTCTCGACCCCTGAACCAAAAACGCCCACCTAAAATACAAATACGCTGCAAGTCAAAAAGTAAGGCATATGCAAATTGTGGAAATAATCATTAATAGTATTTGTGGTAAGAGGTGGGAATTTATTTTGTTAAACTCAAATTTATTAAATTTATGCTTACTCAGTATAAATATAATATTTAAATGCATTCAATATGTTAGAATTTAGAAACTATAGCTATGCAAAACACTCGAGTCTTATGTTGATATGACCGACCACCTGTAGCGCACTCGACACAACTAAAATGCCCGAAACTTTCCCGGAACACAATTTGCTTCCGCTTGGCGCTAGCGCAACATGTGTTCACCAGTCCCTGCCTCAAATTGTGTGTGTGCGTTTGTGTGTTGTGTGTGTGTGTGTGTGTGTTTGCCGGCACAACCCCCGTTGCTAGGCTAATTTCAGTTTCATTCATAAAATTGTATGCTGAAAAACAGCAGCGTGAACTTTCTTATGTGCGCCTATTGCTAAAATAGCTTAGACAATAAATATACATTATTATGTATAATATAAAGGAACGAAATTCGTCTCTTTCCGACAAGCTTTGTAAATGATTTCTCAGAGAAACCAACATTATTTTCATAATTTCAAGCACTGCGCCATTTCGCAGCAGTGCGATAAATCAGTGTTGCAAAATGTGTTTGATTTGCCTGCTCGTGATGAAAAGCACGAGAACTAAAATCTGATTTACTATTATAAAAGCAAGCGAATGATATTCTTTTCTTATATATCAAAGAATTGTTGATCGAACATCAGCCCTTCATTAAAATATGCATTTATGCTTGATAAAATACCTATGCCTACTCACATGTGAACAACATACTATTCTCTATCGCTCTCTTGATATATCGATATATATTTGTTCGTGTTCCGTTCGCTTAACATTCGTCTCTCATTATAGTTTCGTTTATTGTTGCGGACGGTTGTGCGTCGCTGCGCGCGATTGTTATTTTCCTACATTAAACTTGTCGCTCTTCTCTCTCAACAAGTCGAAAGCGGATTATTATTTAGCTCAAAGCTTATTCGTATTTGTTTTTGTCGGATTTATAAAATATTGAATAGAAAAGAACAAGTGATGTAAATATATGAAATTATCTAATGTATACAAAGTACTTGCAACAACAATAAAGTGATGCTAAAGCGATTTGTGTACAAAAAATCAACATAATAAAATCTCATGCAAAACGCGACGGTTGCGGTAAAACAACGATATCGAAAAATAAATTAATTTCAATACTTATCTAAATGCAACACTGCAAACCGACACCAACACTAACACAAACACCAACAACATAATGCTGTTGAAAAAGAAGCGCTATATGTGTGAAGAGCAGGACGGCGCTATTGACAGCGACATCGTCGCTGCTGCTGTTGTCGATTCAAGCAACAGTAACAGCAACAGCAACAACAGAAACACCAACGCGAACAACAACAGCAGCAGCAGTAGTTATGGATCCAACATGGCTGAAACACGCGAAGTCCGAATTGAGGAGCAATTAAAAGTGAAAATTGGTATGTAAACCTCGTGCAAATCAATGGAAACCCCAATGCAATCACAAAACAAATATCGCCTGCGCACCAAACAACAACAATTTGCACTCCAATCATAATTTTTCGCTGTGAAAAGTGTATTGGAATCTGAGCGCGTCTCTCTTCTGCTCCGCCAGAAGAAGGCGCCCAAAAAACCAAATGCGAATTAACAAAATCAAAAACCAATCTATATAAATAATATGTGTGCAGTGTGTTAATAGTGTACAACTCTTTTATGGAAATGTGCCAAATTCAGTTTAACAACAAAATGCAGCAGTTAATTCTAATTTTTTGGCTGAAAATGCATTTTATTTTGTGTGTGTGTGTGTGTGAGTGAGGAAGGCAGCAGCGTGCGGCGCTGTTTCTGCGCATTGTACAGCCGCCTCGTGCCATCTCGCTCTGACAGCAATCGCGTGTGCGTCTTGTGTGTGTGTGTTTTTTTTTTTCGATGCATCCAGCAAGCAACACAAACCACGATTTTAACATTGTGTTGCTGCTGTTATTGTTATTGTTTTAAGCTGAAAAACGAAGCTAGTTCCGCTGGCTGCTGCTGTTAACACCGTCGTCGACGTCTCTGTTTTGCCTGTGCTGTGCATGTTACGGCATCTTTCCCCCGCCCCCGATCCAGCGTGCAGTTGTGAATGAATTTTGTATGTGTGTGTGTGTGAGTGACGACGCTTCAACTCCAGCGCATGTGCCAACACACACACATACATATACAAATACATTTGCACATAGCAGCAATGTGTGGGTTTTTTCATGAATGGAATTCGAATTCGGTGTACTTTTCTCTGGCCTGCCGCCTACCACACACACTCACACACAGTTGCACACACACATACACACACGCAAAGGCTAATTTGTTGTTTTATGAATGATTATTAAGAGCAGCTGAGAATTGTGTGTGCGATGCGAGTTCGCTGATAACCTCGTTTTTGCCTCATTTTCTTTTGCCGATAACAGCAAAAGCCGAAGCCTCTCATCGATTAATGCGTGCGCAAATATCGACAAACAGAACAGACAAAAAAGGTCAACTCATGAATGGGCGCCTGCACACCTCTGTTTATACCTATCTCTCTCCCTCACTCGTTCTTTCTATTTCTTGTCTGCTTTTACCTTCTACTCATAATAACTGTAACCAACTTGAGCAGCATTTGCGACATTTGCGAGCTTTTTTTTTTGCTGCGGTTATTTTGGTGTACCTCTTGACTGGTTTTACATTTCCTGTATGGCCTTTTTTGTCGTCGTCGTTGTTGTGTGAGAAAACAGAATTATGGAAGCAACAACCACACAAAACCACAGTCAAAAATTAAAAAAAAGGGTTGCTTGTGTCTATATGTGTTTGTGTTGGCCTCATTTGCCTGCTCGCATTTCACACCTGCCTGCATCATCGCGGGGGGGCGGGGATTCCATCCCAACACTCTGCAAATAAACACACATTATTTATTTTTATCTCTTCTTACTTATGCCATACAGCGCAGCGCGTTTTCATTTTCCGCCTAAACAATTTCAATCTTCCATAAGCAGCTTTTGCTACGCTTCTGTCTGTGTCTCTTTGCCCTTGGCGGGTCATAAATTATATGCAAAGCTGCAACACCAACAGCAGAAGCAGCAGCAACAGCAACGACAACAACATCAAACCCTGCTGTTGTAGCAGCTTTTGATTTCCGTTTCCCATCGCATGAATTTCCTTTTTCTTTCTTTGCCATAAAACTTTTGATATTTTTTTTGCGTTTGCATTTGCTGCTGGTGCCTCTGCTTCAACTTCTGCTCCCCTTCTCAGTTTTCTTATTGTTGTTCTTCTTCGTGTTGCTCTTTTTTTTTGCACGCTTCAATTGTTTTCGCATGCGCTTTGTCTTTGTCGGCCTGGTCTGCTTCTTCTTGTTGTCTATCCTGTTATACATTCTGTCCGTCCGTCTGTCTGCCTGGCGCTTCCTTCTTCTGGAAGGCATCACAAAACTCAGCTGTCTTCTTTTGATTTTCGGCATTATAAGCAACTACAGCACATGTCTTCTTCTTGCCCCTTTTGCTCTTTCTTTTGGTGGTTGACATTTTCAATGAGAACGAGGAAGATCATAAAAGAAACAAAATTGAACAACTTGTAAACACCGCTATTTTAAACACTGTTCTTTGTGTGATCTTACACTCATTGAAATCGACTGCATAATTGTGAAATACACATTAATTTAAATTCAGTCCAAAAACTAGGGCTATTTACCTAGCAGAGCAAATGCGTTCAAATTTAAAATGTATTATTCATCGTAATTTCTGGAATGGCTTGATGAATGCGCAGATGCGATATGTTTAAACTAAAATAGGTAAATTCCACACATAGAACTTTTTTTTTTCTTATGAACTATGTACATATGATAACTGTAGTATTCCCATCATCATGTCTAATAACTTTAGCGTCGTCACCTTTTGCAAGCTTACATTTTATTTCATATTCCATGATCGAGGCTTCCATCCATCCAGTCTTCCATCCATCTAAGCATTCTTCGTTTAGTGCCCGTGTGTCTGTCTGGCTTTCTGTCTGTGCATAGTTTTTTTCTTTTGTTTTTTTTTTGCTCAAGTTTCATATTTCCACTTCATTATGCTTTGCATGCTTAATAATAATACTTCCACTTCGTGCTCAGTTTCAATTACACAAAGTTTCGCTTTTGTTGTTGTGGCTTTCCATTTTGTTGGCTCTGTTTGCGATTTCTACACACAAACAGCACTGACCGAAATTGGCGTAATACTTTTCCACTTAATTAAAATGTTAAGCGCATAACCTAAATTTCGTTTTCTATAAGATTGGGACACGCCCCCTCCCTCACCCTTCACCAGACCCCTGTAATAGTTGCCATTGTCGATTTTGAAAATGCAAGTTACAGTTACTACCCAGCAGAGGGCGCTCTACTATGACTCACATAACTGACTCATGCATTGGATGCTAGCGTGTAAAACAGAGATAGAAGATAAAAGACAAGATATGCAATTTATGCTGAAATATTGATGACAATTTACATGAGCTGACAACTCTGTTTGTTGTTCTTGGGGGGGGACGGTGGGTAGATAGGGGCTTAACAAGGGCCACACAACACGCTCCAAATTCTGCTGAACTTGAAAAAACACCAACAACATCAAGTAGCTGACATTTGTTGTTGTTTGTACTTTTAACACAAAATAAGCACGCATTTCTCTGTATATTAATGTAAGAGTGTGTGTGTGTGTGTATATATATGTATTTATGTGCGACAAGAAATAGTTTTACCTAAAAAAGGCAATTAATTAAAAGCCGGTTGTGTTGTTGTTGTTAGTTGTAGTTGTAGTTGGTGTTGCTCTTGAGGCCTGACCACAGCAAATCCCAAACTGGTTGGCAACTTGGCACTTGGCTTAAACTCACTGTTGGCCTAGCTGTAAGGCTGTTCTAGTCTCTTTTGTTCTGATCTCTGTTGATCTTCCCTCTCTGTGCTTTGTTGACAATTAGTCTGCCTTGTTGTGTCTTTGTCTTAGTCGGTTCTTCATCTTTTTTGTTGTACATTTCTTAAATCATTTTTCTAATACATACTTTTCTTGATAAGCTGCGTTTACTTGTTAACTTGGCTGAGGAACAATTAAAATGGTTGACAACCTCCAGTTTTTTTTAGTTCGAAATAAAATCTAAGCTAAGTCACTAAGAAGACTTTAGCAGCAGTTTTAGACTTTAGGTCGAATACTTAAATACTCTCGAAGAACTTTATTACAATTATTTCAACTGTAGTCATAAAGTAGAAGTTTTAATAACCACCTTGATTTTATATATATATATTGTTGTTATATAGTAAATATTAATTTTTAACAACTCAGAATAAATTAGTGGCATTAGTTTCAAGGATTTTGTCTGAAGCGTGAGCTTTCAGTTTCCTAGCACAAGGGAGCTGTCAAGTGTGACCAGCTGCGCATTCGATGCACTTGATTTAATGAGACCAAAGCTTATTGGAATTGAGCATTGCCATTCTGGTTGTTGTTGTTGTACTTGTACACTTCCAAAGAACAACAATTGTGTGTAATTAGTTGCGTTGCTAAAATACTTTTTATTCAGGTCGCCTTCGACAGGCCTCATAAAAAGCAAAGCCTTGCCATGGACATTTGTGGCAATGTGGTTTCGCTTGTTGCCTGCCACTGACTGTTGTGACTGCTTGCTGCTGCTGCTGTTGATTAACATCATAAAGTTGACGACGTCATCGACTCGATGAGATGAAATGATGAGCTTGCAACTGATGATTAACATTTATCTTTTACTTTCTTACACAGAGTGGTTTTCCCCACTCGCTGTCTTTTATGACTTAACGCTTGACCTCTTCTCGCCTCGCCTCTCTTTGATGTTTGTGTGTGTGTGTGTGTGTGTGTGTGTGTGTGTTGACTTTGCCTGGGGTCATGTGGCAGGCAGCATTGAGCGGGAGCTTGATGACTCTGCTGCTGCACCCTAAGCAAGGCTTTGAACTTCACGCTGTGTTGGTGCTTCTTTTTTGGTTGCCCATTTCATGTATTTTTTTTATGAGATTACCCGCGACATTAAAATTGCTGTAATTTGTAATTAAAACTCGAGTTTTTCCTCTATTACACTTACATTTGGGTGTACATAGAAATAATCTTAATACAATTATTTAGCTGTTTGTTTCGCTTGTTGTTGCATGTCTCGTTTTTTGTGTCTGTGGCACGGTGGATGAATATCTGAAGGTAAGCAGGGTCGCAAGTGTCAAAGTGTTTATCAAGTCTCATTTTTTAATGGCGCCGGTTTATTAGTGTAAAGCAATTACATAAATATTTATAAAGATTTGTTTGCATAAGAATGGTTGCCCGACTTAACAAATATTTCCACTAGATGATTAAGTTTGAAACTCGTCATGTAAATAAATATTAAATTGTAGGCAATAAGACACACACAGATATATATATTTATATATGGGTATCTAAGCAACCCACATACGAAGCAGCAAAAATTGCTGCTGTGCTTT